CTGGGGCAAAGAGATCATGGATATATTATGGCTTGAGATGCAGATGCTGAAGCCTCCACTGAGATTTTCTAGATTTTTCATGTGATAGTAAGTAAAATAATTAAAGAGCATGCATGTGATGGTAAATAATAAACTCATACTTTGCATTCATGCATTAATTCCTTTGCTCACTCATTTCCTCTTATTTAGAACCTAGCGGTAAGCTGTATGTACAGTGACTCAAGCTGACAAGTCTAGACCGTCATGGAACATACAGACTAGTAGAAGAAGCAGATATTAAACAAATTACAGATAATTATAAATTGTGAAGAATGACAAAGGGAAAATTAGGTTGAGGAATAGATGATGATGGGTTTTGGCAGGGGCTATTTAAGTGAGTGCCATTTTCTCAAAATGACACTGAAGACACATTTTTTAAAAATCCTCACCCACATATATGTTCATTGGGTTTTGGGTGGGGAGAGAGAGGAACATCGATATGAGACAGAAATATGGGATCAGTTTCCTCCCATATGAGCCCAACTGGGGATTGAACCTGAAACCTAGTATGTGCCCTGACCTGGGATAGAACCTGCAACATTTTTAATGTACAGGACAATGCTCCAACCAATAGAATGACCCAGCCAGGGGTGAGGAGTCATTTTTTGATATATTGAAACTTGCTTACTTTCATGTCTTTATTATTGTTTAGATCTTATATAGAGCCACAAATCAGCAAACTTGCCTTTCACTGGATGAGTGTTGGCCTAGCCCAATGTACAGTTTGGAAGTACAGTCAGAAGGTGCTTGGTGTTATGGAGTAAGTTCCGGGAACTGTGAGATCATTCCCTGATGGGCTTGAAATCCAGCTGAGTTAGCTCCAGATTCTCCAGATACTCTGCGTGCACTTCCAGGGAACCTGCAGCTCCTAAACCATTCTGAAGTTACAAAGAATTTTTAAGTAGAAAATGTGTAAGATGTACACCTTAGAAAACTTTATCCACTTTATTTTTTGAATTCTCAAAAATAAGTGTACATTTCATCAGTTGAAAAAATCTTTTATTCTTATAGTGGAAAAATTTAGACATAATTCATAATAATAGGCTCTATCATATTTCTAAAATATCAAAAATTTAGACCGGCAAGGCAATTTGACTTTTAGTTATATATGACACATATCTTAGGTCTACTCTATTTTTGTAAAACATCAAAAGATGTCACAAATACATGGCTACTTTAATAAATCTGGAAATCTTCCCATTGTGTAGAAAAAAGTTTTATTTTGATTCTTACTATATTTTAAAGAGCCATATTTCTTGATTTTCTGGTGATTCTTGGTGAAAACTTTTTAAAAGTGTGACTACAAAATATAGTACTTTTATAACATAGCTTTAAATTTATTTTTTTACTGTAATTCATTATTTTGCTCAAATATGTAACTATTTGTGTCATTCTTGTTACCATTCACAATTCTACTGAAATAAATTTCTTAATACAAAATTTTACCCTTTTTTATTCCCAACATTCTATGGTAGTATTTATAACAAAGACTTTTACACATTGAAAACAAGATGTTTGCATTCATTCATTTAAAGACTATTTATCATATGCCCATTATGTTCCAAATACTGTTCATAGGTTGGGTAAAAAAGTGAACAAAACAGACAAAAATACATATTGTCATTTACCTTCCTTTATGGTGTGTGGAGACAGAAAATAAATATATTCAATAAATAATTATATTTTTGTATTAAAAGGTAACACATACTACAAAGAGAAACATCAGGGCATATGGAAGCATATAGTTTACTGTGGAATTTTTTCTTTTTGAGAGGGACTAATTATATTAACTGAAAAGCTTATGGAATTCCTAATATAAGAGTTATAATATATTGTAACTGATTATTATTCAATTTTATTCATATGTATTTAACATCATTTATTGTTCGGACATTATGTTGCTTACTTTCACATAGCAACTTCATGGAATTCCCAATACAACCTCATGAAGTAGGATTTGTTATTACATCTATGAGAAAACTCTGATAAAAGATTCAGTAATAACCCACCCTGGTGAATGAAGTGAGCAATTGGCACAGCCGGAATTCAAATTCAGATTTTTTATTTTTCGATGTTTCTCTGTTCTTTACCTTGCTGCACCTAACATTCCAAGTAGTCTATTACAACACTCTATCGTTTGCCTTCTCAAAGGTGGTGTAAAGATTTCAGATTTGGAAGACCTTCCAATGAAAATGTGTTCAGTTAATAAGACAACTACCATGTAGCCCAGCAGAATAATTTCTGAGGGGATAGTCTGCTGATCTCTTCAGAAGGGAAAGAAGGAAGTGACTTAGAGATTAGACTGCCAACATCCAGAATTTCTAAATTCTCATCAGCAGGCTCGCAAGTCTCAAGTTTAGTTGCAGTGGTGTCCAGGTTAAATGTATTTTCTACTAAATATATATCTCCAAAATTGTATGAGTAATCAGAAGCTTTTATTTCCCAAAGTGCTGCTCTTGGCATTTTCTAATTCCGCATTTGCTGGTGCGGTTGACATAACTGTTCACATAGTTTTTATTTCACATAGACAGCATGTGCACCTGTTGTCAAGCTGCTAAAACTGTTCTTGCTCCTTGGTATTGGGCCATTCTGCTGATACAGTGTGTTATAAATATTGCAAGGACAGGACAGTTCATATGACAGGATAATACAACATAATTTGACTGACAATCTCATTTCCTATTTAATCCCTGTAGACTGAGACATGAGTTAAAATTTCAGCTATGTCAAGGTTATTACAAAATATGGCCAGTTTTATACTTTACCTAAAATATGATCTACATAAGGTATATCAGTAAGGGCCACCTTTGTATTGCTTAAACTGGTCCTGGTTGGGGGAAAGGGAGGAATGGCATCTTCCTAAATAATAACTTAAAGTTTGAATATACAGTCTCTTTATGTGAAATCATTACTGTACTTGAGCCAGCTGTAATAGAGAGACACACATCCTGTGGTTACGTAAGAAAATGATCTGAGAAGGGAATTCTGGGCACTGTGTATTTTGCTTGAGTGACACTGATATATTTGGAAGCATCTGTCTTTCCCTTCTACCTAGATGCATGTTTGTTTATTTTGGCTTCCAATAAGCTACTGATTCCCTCTAACTCTTGTGTCCAAAGGCTCAAACTGTATTTGGGTTCAAGTACTCCTTCTTACAAGTTTATCATTACAAAGTACTACCAGATTTTGGGGAGAATCATGTCCCCATTTGCAGTTAAATTCTTGACTTTAAATAGTTTTATCACCAATAAAATGCAATATCCTTTAACAAGAAAAAAGATCTAATCAGTCAGGTTTTGCTGAAGTACCATGTACAAACAGCGTGAATAGGTAAGGCTCTATTTTTTTCCATTATATGCATCACATGTGTAGTAAGTGCCTATGACAACATGTGGCAGACAGAGCTCAGAATCAGAAAGCTTTTTCCTGACTCTTCGCTCTTTATGATACATTATTATTTTAAAAACACATATACTTCCTGTATGCCAAGCACAGTTCTAAGCAATTTATAAATATTAACTCCTTAATTCTCACAGCACCTTAGGAGGAAGTCCAAGATCAGACACATAGTGCTGGTGGAGGCAGGGAATGTAAGCCCAGCATTCTGGCTCCAGAGTTTGTGTTCTGTACTGTACAATACTTTGTCTAATAATTTTCAGATATAAATAATTTGTGTGCAGTGCAAAACAGGATATGTTTTCTTGCCTTCAGAGGGTTCACAATCTAAATAAGTTTCTTTATTCTTTCCATGCTTACCTTCAAAGATCCAGATATAGTATGGTAGCTCATTAATTTAGCAGAGACCTTCATTTATTACATATGTATGATGTATACTGAAAACCAGGACAAAGCAGGTTGCCTCTTAGAGAGCTCACATCAGGGAGAGACACGATTTCATGGATGCTAATGGCAGGCAATACTTCAATTACATCCTTTTTTTGGAAAATGTACAGAATTTTTCAAAAGGGATAATGTTTGACTTGGAGTTTGCTAGACAGATGAATAGAGAAGAAAGAATTGCAGATGAAGGCACGGTGTTGTATATATGAAGGTTCAGAGGGTACTCAGGGATGGAAATTATTAACAGCACGATATGACCAGAAACTCAGGAAATAAGGTCTAAGTTTGAATGGCCTTGTATTCTTTGATAAAGATATGAAATTGATTATTTCGGTAATGAGAAATAATGAAGAAATTTAAGTATTGAAAGATTTGGTGCGTACTGTGTTTTAGATCCTTATATCAGACAGTTTGATTCAGAACTTCACTAAAAGTAATTTGGATTCCCAGTTTTGTTGTTTACCTTTTCTCCCTTTTATTATTGTGAGAAATAGAAATACTTATTTGGAGGACAATAAACTGTTGAAGGGAGAACCTAAAATTATGATATTTTGGTAGCTTTCTTCGCACAAAGATCCATCTAGTCTCATTGGTATGCATTCTAGTGTTGTTGCATCCTGAGAAAAGCTGTAGCAATGTACGTCTTTAAAGGGCTCTGGGATTACTTCTCAGCTCTACCGCTTCCTGAACAGTTCCTTCCAGGACAAAATCCATCCTGTCTCTCGGAGTCTGTTTCCTCCACCATGTTTACCTAAAAGACCTGTTATAAGGTAATGCAGCTGGAACTGCTTTATCAAAGCACAATGCAGATGCAAGGCATTGCTGTTAATTTACATTTTCAGCTAGAGCTGAGCTTTATATTTCTATGTCACAATATTCCTCTAGGAGTTTTATATTTTAATGGCCTCAAATTTTCATTTTTCCATAACAGTGAGAAAAATTCAGTTCACTTTCAGTTCTTGCATGTGAGGTTGTCTTTGACATTGTTCGCCTGTCAGAATCTTTCCCATTGAGAGAACTTAAAGGATAACTTTCTGAATGGCCCTTGATTTGCATTTGTGATGTTCTTTGAGAGAAATGTGCATCTTCTTCCTCGTGTTTTTATGCCTTCTTTTTTTTAGATTGAAGAATCAATTGAGACACACTTTGGCAGCCGTGGCAGAAGGGCCATACTCTACAGGCCTCCTTCCTACAGCAAAAAGGAGCTTTGGCTTCACCAGCACATTCTCGCTCAACTTCACTACACAGTGCTCATCACTGAAGAAAGGCTCAGTACTGACCCAGGGCTGGAGCTGCTAGGAAAAGGTCAGAATAAGAAAGTAATTACCAAAGTGTCTTGACGTAAAATATTAAATGATTTCTGGAATGTGCTACTATCTTCCTCTAAAAAAATTCACTAAAACAAATTTTTGCCACTGATCAGCTTTCTTGCACTTTAGAAAACTTGGCTTTTTTTCCACTTCCTCTCAATTTTTCTTCAGCTATATGTCTTTATTCTTGATATTATTTAGTTTATACTTGTATAGCATTTTGGAGTTGCATAGTTCATGTTTAAATGCTACATAAAAATGTTTATGTTTATGAGCCTGAATACATGTTCTTCCCAACACCAAACTGCTCCATATTTTAAGAAAATTGCCAATTCATCTGACTGTAAGTAGAATGTGCTGGAAATTGTTTCAAGAAACCAGCTTAAATGTGATTCACAGATTGTCTCTAAATGTGAAAGAAGTGTGGATATTTATCACACATGCTATTACTAGTCAAATACTTTTATTTCTTTCATTTGAAGTGAAAATTAAAAGACAAGTGTGTTTCAACAAGTTATTTGAAAAGAGCTGAAGAGATGATGCAGGTCAAAAAGGGCAGTGACAAGAACAGCTCACACTTGTCAACTATCCCCATGACAGATACTATGTTCTATTCTATATTCATAATCTCATTTAATCCTCACTGAAATCCCATAAGTGCCCTAAGATTAAGAAATATTAAACCCTGTCCCCCATATTCCAAAACAGGAAACTGAAGTTTCAAGAGGTGAAGTGACTCATCCTGTTTCTTTAACCTGGGGTGAGGAAAAGGCAAGATTTGAACCTCTTTGTTCCAGCTCTCACTTGTGTGCTCATCCTCTTGCCCTCCTTGTTGCCTCAATCTCTCTTTTGACCATTATCCTGCATGACTGTATTATTATTAGATCTACAAGGATGTGGAATGCTCATTTGGCTTGAACAAATCACACTTTTTATAAGGGAGGGGAGAAAAAGCAATTTGACCTCAGCGGTGGTTTCTTTGGAAGAGAATATGCAGACCCTGGTACCATAGTAACATTTTACTTTCAATTAAGTTTTAACAACCTTGCCATCATCATGGCACTTGTTCATCAGTGGCCCCTCATTCTTTAATGTGCTAGGTTTATGCTGGTGAATGAAAGAGGCAGGGGGAATATTTGGACTTCTGGCCAAGATAGAGGCATAGCTGAATACACTGTGCCTCCTCACACAACCAAAAGAAGGACACCAACAAATTTAAAAACAAAACATGACCAGAACTGCCAGAAAATCAAACTGTATGGAAGTCTTACAACCAAGGAATTAAAGAAGAAATAGTCATTGCAGACCAGTTAGGAGGAGTGGAGATGGGTAAACAGGGTAGAGAGGACACATGGCAAAGCTGTGGCTGGAGGACTGGGGCAGGCAAGGTAGTGGCTGGCAGAGTGGGCAGTCCCACATTTCTGTGTAGATAAGCCGGGGAGAACAAATGGGGAGCAAGGCAGACTGCATAACCCATGGTTCCAAAGCAGGGAAATAAAGCCTCAAAACCTCTGACTGAAAAAACTGTGGGGGTTGCAGTGGCAGAAACTCCAAGCCTCACAGGAGAGTTCGTTGGAGAGATCCAGAGGGTCCTAGAATGTACATAAAATTACCCAGCCAGGAATCAGCACCATAAAGACCCAATTTGCTTGTGAGTAGAGGAAGAAGTGACTGAAAGGTGGCTGATAGCTGAGTAAGTAGCATTGCTCCCTCTTGGACTCCTCCCCTGTGGGGGCAACTTTGCCAGCATGTCCCTCCATCCACCACAGATGAAAGTGAAACTACCAAGACATGATCTGCTTAGGGAGGAAGGGTGGCCAATCTCTCAGAGGAGAAAAGCCAAGGGCCTCTTCCTCCAGGGGCTTTTGTTAGGTTGTAATACACAGGAATACAGGCAATAAGGACAAACAGTAGATAACATTTCAAAAAAATCTGAGGGCTTAGTCTGAGTCAGTGTCTGTCAGGAAAGGGGGTTGCAAAAACTTTGGCAAACATATTCATTTCCTGCTTGGACCTTTATCATATAAATGAAAACACTCTTAGCAAAGCAGGCTTCACAGGACTTTTAGGAATTCTTTCTTATGCCCGATCACCCTGGAACCCACTCTAGCCAGCAAAGAGCTGCACTGCCTTCCCCACCATAGGTTTTAGGCTTAAGTGGATTAGAGCCAGAAAGTGCTTCTCCCAGATGGAAATGGGGACTCAGGCTATGTCAGAATAGCTGGGGGGGGGGGTGGTGGTGAGAGTCCATCACTCCCTCTTTGTTGCAGCCCCCTGAGTCCTTCCATGATGGCCTCCCAAGTGATCCTGTCTGGCTTAGGTTGCCCCCCTCGTAGGGGTCTTACCCATTATAGACTAACCAACTGAGTGTTGGGGGCAGGGGAAGCAGCAGAAGCAGCGCTTGTTGCCAGAGACAAGCTTTGTCTCCTTAGTGGCTCGCATTCTGAATGTCTCTCACTCAGCCTTAGCCATGGGGGGTAGTTATAACTCCTGAAACCAGGCAGAGCGGTTCCCAACACTCCCCCACATATAGCACCACAATGCAGCCATGTGAGTTCCCCCACCCCGGTGAATAGCTAAGGCTCCACCCCTTACTATGTAATAGATGTGCCAAGACAAAAAATGGCCCAAATGAAAAAACAGATCAAAGCTCCAGAAAAAAATACAACTGAGTGATGAATAGATAGCTAACCTATCTGATGTGCAGTTCAAAACACTGGTAATAGATAGAATTGATTGAATAGGTAGAATAGAATTGATTGTGTATGGTTACAAAATAGAGGAAAAAGTAAAGGCTATGATAAGTGAAATAAAGGAAAATGTTCAGGGAACCAACCGTGCAGGGAAGGAAACTGGGACTCAAATCAATGGTTTGGACCAGAAGGAAGAAAAAAACATTTAACTAGAACAGAATGAAGAAATAAGAATTTTAAAAAAAATGAGGAGAGGCTTAGGAGCCTCCAGGACAACTTTAAACATTCCAACATCCAAATCATAGGGGTGCCATTAGGGAAGAGCAAGAGCAAGAAATTGAAAACTTATTTGAAAAAATAAGGAAGGAGAACTTCCCCATCTGGCAAAGGAAATAGATTCTCAGGAAGTCTGGGAAGTTCAGAGTCCCAAAGAAGATGGACCCAAGGAGGAACGCACCAAGGCACATCATAATTACATTATCCAATATTAAAGATTAGGAGAGAATCTTAAAAGCAGCAAGAGAAAAGGAGACATTTACCTACAGAGGAATTCCAATAAGGCTATCAGTGGGTTTCTCAAAAGAAACATTGCAAGCAAGAAGGGGCTGGAAAGGAGTATTTGAAGTCATATACAGCAAAGCTATCATTTAGAATGAAGGGGCAGATAAAGTGCTTCCCAGGTAAGGTCAAGTTAAAGGAGTTCATCATCACCAAGCCCTTATTGTATAAAATGTTAAAGGGACTTAGCTAAGAAGTAGAAGAAGATAAGACATATGAACAGTAAAATGACAATAAACTCACAACTGTCAGCAACCAAACCTAAAAAAACCCAAAACAAAAACAAATTAGGCAAACAACTAGAACAGGAACAGAATCACAGAAATGGAGATCACACAGAGGGTTATCAGTGGAAAAGGGGAGAAGGGGGATGAGGGAAAAGGTACAGGGAATAAGAAGCATAAATGGTAGGTAGAAAATATACAGGGGGAAGATAAGAATAGTATAGGAAATGTAGAAACCAAAGAACTTATATGTACGACCCATGGACATGAACTAAGGGGGGATGTGGGAATGCGGGTGGGAAGAGGGTATAGGGCAAAGGGGAATAAAGAGGTGGCAAATGGATCAACTGTAATAGCATAATCAATAAAATATATTTGTAAAAAAGAAAGAGGCGGGGGGGAACATTCAGCCATGATCACTCCTTACTATGTTCACCTTTTACCTCATTGGCTGTAAAATTGTAAGCTAGGTAGCTAGCAAAATCCCAGAGATTGGAGACCCCCAAAAATCCTCTTTGGTGAATAGAATGGTATTAAAACTGTGGAAAGTATGGGCCATGAGGACAGGCTTTCATGTCATTTGCTGGTCCCTGCCCCCTAAGTGATAGCATGGAAACAGAGCACTAGGCTCCTATAAGCAATTGAGAAAAACAAAAGGGAAGGTGAAAGTTCCAGAATATCAAAGAAGGCTAGAAACAAATTTTGTAAACCTTATTGAGGTTGGTTCTAATAAGATGGACCAATCTAGAGTTTTAGAGCATCCATACATGATATTGTCAGGAAACCATTGATCAGAATAGGTGTTAAGGAAACTGCCTCTCATCCCCGGGGAATAGCTTAGCCCATCACCGAACCAGGTGGTTGACTGGTGTGTATTGATATAACCACCACCTGCATGCCATGTGAGCTGTGCTCCTGAGTCATGCAGAATACCACTGCCATCTGAAATGCCTGTGTTCCCCTCTGTCCTCGGAGGTGTTACTGGCCATGTATGGGCACAACATGGATCATCTGTGCATTTCAACTTCATTCAATTTCAATTTTTAGTTGTTTCCAGTTGCAAAATAGAGGGAATATATCTCCTCTCTCCCTTGACATCCTTGGGTCAGTTTTACAAGAAAAAGGATTAGTTTGCAGCTTCCAAATATAATGAAAGTGCAAAGACAGCCTGAAGGTAACAGAATGTAATTGCCAAAGGAGTTCCTGGGCCCAGTAGCACGAGCACAAACAGATGGTGTCAACAGAATTTGTCGTTTGTAAATGCTGTTTCCGCTGCTCTCCCCTGCATTCTCTCAGCTTTTGAAACACCCATTTCCTAACTCTTCTTGGCATTCTTTTACTCCGTATAGTGAGATATTATTCCTGGATAGGCCTTGGGAAAGGGCAGCAATTTCACCAGTACAGAAAAATGTGGGGGTTTTTTTTGCTTTTCACTTGATTTTGCAGTTTGCAGTTTTCACTGAGATCATTATGTACTGAACCCTGAAATAAAAAATTTCTGTGACTGAATCTAACATATC